AGTGTTGCAGGGTGTACAAATATTAAAGAATATACGAATCAAAATTGAAAGTCAAATATGAAACAATCGCATGCGATAAGAATTTTAACAAAACAAAAAATATTCACTTTTATATTGGCATATATTTGTGCGATTTTCTTAGATTTTATTCTTATTTGGCAAGAGGTCATTCCGAATTGGTGAGAATTGTCGAAATCAGTCCAGCGTCCATCAATTTCTCGTACATATAGATTGTAAACTGCAACAAAGTAAAACGCCATAATCTTTACATTTTTTCTTCAATTTTATTGAATGAAAACAAAAACTTTTAGAAATAGCATCAAATTTTAGAATAAATTTAGATTTGTTCGAATTGGTCACCTTTGGCACGAATTATGACCCTCAAACGGCCACTGAAACCTTCACACGCTGCCAGAATGTTGCTCTTTATTTATTATTATTTATTTAGTTATTCTGACCCATTCCTGGCGAAGAGCTTGCTTGAGGTGATCGACACTTTGATATTTTTTAGTGCCTACCTTGCTTTCCAAAATACTCAAGACGCAATGGTCCAACAGATTGGTATCCGGAGATTTTGGTGGCAATTGTGCGCTGGAAATAAAGCGGGAAACCTCATTTTGTAACCATTCTTGGGTGGCGCGTGGTGAATGCGATGGTGTTGAGTCTTGTTGGAATATACAAGGTCAGCGGCCAAAAAGTTTGCCTGCCCTCCAAAATATTTTCGCATTTTTTCTGATGCCACGGTCGTTAATACGAGCGGAGAACGACAATCGACCATGGCGGCCGACACCATCACCATTGCCGGCGCTTGGGTTCTGGTGGCCAACCGGAGGTGCACATTTTCAGTTGACCTATTCGGCATTTTGCTTGTTTATAAACGGCTGGACAACGAATGTTTTCTCATCGCAAAAAAGCCAAATTTAGTTCAGCAATTTCGAACAAGCGAAGCAACTCTTTAGCTCTTTTGAGTCTATTTTCTTTCTGTTGCGGTGTAAGTTCTTGCACTTTTTGGAATTTCAATGGCTTTACCCCGAACTCATTTTTCAATATTTGCTGAATGGAATATTGCGATATTTTCAGCTCACGAGCCATTTTTTGGCCACTGCGACCATTGTGAGTTTCGATCAAGTCGTTTCGTTACTTTACGAACCATGTTGCTGTTTTCTTCCGTACACTTCTTTGACGTCGTGCTACGCTACCAGTATCATGGTAACGAGCGATGGTACGAGACACAAACGATTTATTCACATTTAAATGCTGGAGTGCTCTAACGATTTTCCAGAAAAAAAAAATAAAGAAATCACACTATCGCGCTTGAATTCCATCAGGAATAACTTTTTTTCTGAAAAAAAGCTCACCAAAATGCTTTTGTACGCTTGTAAACAGTACACCCAGAGAAAAAATGACAACATCCGTGTATGAAATGACCACATCCGTGTATGATAGTGTATCAACCACGTTTGGTGTCAAAATGAGCACGCCGTTGTCATTTTGACACCGAGATTTTGGCAACGATTTCAACAACAGATGTGCATGAAATGAGCACATACGTGGTCATTTCGAGCACGCCCCGTTGTCAGATTGTCAACGCTTCGTTGTCAGATCGTCAACGCTTCGTTGTCAGATTGTCAACGCTCCGTTGTCGGATTGTCAACGCCCGTTGTCAGATTGAAATCAATGGTGGTCATTTTTTGATATCCGTTCCTTTTCCATTTTATACCCTTAGTAGAAGAAACGAAATTTTTTGAAAAGTATTTTATTTAACGAAACCAATTACATAAATTCAATATAAATACATATTTGATTTAACAAAACAATTCGAATTACATATATTCAATGTATAGAAACAAATTAAATTAACTTAAATCTGAAATAAACTTTTCCATTATTCATAGGATATAAGTGAAATGGGTAAGTAATAAAATCTAAAATTGGTATTAAAAAAATTGTATCCTCATTCAGAGAACCAACTTCATACGATTGTAAATGATAATCAAAGTTTTTAACTTTTACTTGGTTACATAAAATGTAAACATTTTCATTTTCAATTATTAAATGTTTAATTTTGAAAAGTTCAATTGCGGCATTATTTGTTGCTAAATAATAGTTTTTTTTATACCTAGTTCCCTTAAAAAAAATGTCATCAGACACTTTGCAATTTTGGTAATTTAAAACTGGCTTACGTTTTTTGTAACAATATTCCTCTTTTGCCAAATCTTCGATGGTATGCGTATTAATGATAACATTTGGTTCTAAGTTATCTTCGTGTTTTAATAAAAAATTGGAAAATTTCAATCCAGACTTAATAGATAATGAACGACAGGGATTTACTCTTGATGTAGTATTTCCTAAATAGGCTTTTGCTTCCTTGTGTTTAGCTTCGAATCTCATGCTCCAGAGATATTTAAGGGGACCACATTTTCGGATAGCAGTGGGATAGTGGACAAGAAAGTGGTGTTTCGGTTTTAACGAACCGTATAATGTTATATAAAGTGAATGGTGATCTCTAATTAATTCTTCCAATTTTATTAAATCGTCTCCTATATAACTTGGTCTTAAAAGTAAATCGATTATTTGTAATAATATTATAAACACTTTCCAGTGATCGTTGGAGAAAGGAATTAAATCACCTACCATAAAAGGTAAAAAATGAGTAAAACACATAGTTTCACTAGCTGTCATTTTTAAGTTATAGTTTTTCAATCTACATAAATCTAGTGGTCCAGATTTATTTCCCACTTCAATTTCTCCAAATTGGAATAAAGATTTTCTGCTGTTAATACAATCTAACGTAACAATATTTTCTTGAATCAGCCCGAGAATTACATTAGACATATCGTAGACACAAATGCCCTCGAAAATGTCATGCATAATATCAAAACAAAAATTTTCAGTGACGTTAAAATTTGGTAAAGATTCGAAGATACACTTGTTTTTAATACCTGTTTCTTGAAAATTATTTTCCAATACATCTGAGTTGTAATTCTCTTGGTTTCTTAAACCATCTAAATGCTGAATTGCGTCGGATTGCATTTGGGACTTTTTTCTTCTACATACCCGGCAAAATCTTTTAGAGTTAAATGATTGCACGTAGCCTAAAATACTATTAACTGCTAAATTATCTCCAATAATTACACCTAAAATAAAATGCACCTTCTGAACACTTTGTTGAACACAAATTTCAACCCCTTCTTCTAGAATTTTTAACTCCTCTACAAGATTGTGAAATGAAACTTCATTTCCACGTTCTTTTAAATCCTTTGATGGTATAAACGCAGCAGTTAATATATAATCAAGTTTTGACAACAAGTGCTGTGGCATTGAAGGAAAGCTAATATAACAACCACATATGGAAAATGTATGGGTTCCAAGAGGATTATTAATTTGAAAATCATCCATGTAAAGGACATAGGGAATAACTAAATTGTACTGATATTTTAATAATTTAGTTTTATATAACTCACCGTTTGTAAAATTTTGTAAAACAGGTGAATTTAGGAATTTTTTGGAGTTTTCTAATGTCAAATCTAAGAGATTTGGAATTTTAAAAAGGGCACTTATCATGAATTTCAGTGGCATTATATAAATATTGGATAACTTTGGACCTAAACTGGGATTTCCGCTGATAACAATTTCCGAGACTTGATTGCTAATTACATAAACCTTTGGATCATCATAAAAGTTTAGTTCTTTTAAATTTTTAAAAGTCTATATTCCGTTCTAGTTTCTTCGAAAGGATTTTTACAAAAGTTTAGTAAGTACCTTAAGTCTTCATAATTTGGATGATCAGTTATATATTTTTCAATTGTACTTGAAATGGATGAAAGCAGAATTGAAACAGAATGTTGTATTTCTATAACATGATTTCTAGGCATATAGCTTTGACCATGTAATTGTAAAGACAGATATAAGGTTTTCTTTTTCATAACATCTAAATCCTTTTCTATTGTATTGTTGTTAATAACAGTTTCACTGTTTGTGTAATCATTTTCATTTGATGATGACATTTCAACTGGCACATTAATGGCTTTAGCCATTGGTGGAGCTTTTGTGTGATTCTTGTGAAGTTTTTCTAAATGAATTCTGAATGACGTAAATTTTGTAAATGTTTGCTTACAGTTGTCCTGAACGCATTGTACTTTTAAAAATTTAGTTGACATTAAATGGTCTGTTTTCAAATGAGCTATTAAAAGATTTGCCTTATCAAAATGCTTACGGCAACGAAAGCAAATATACATTTTGAATCGAACTTTAAATATTGTTGCAGAAATTAATAAGTGAAGTCAAATTAACTGATTTTATATCATATACAGTATTAATTTCATAAAAATATTTTTGGATAAAAATCCATGGAATTTGGCAGGCATTTGGATATTTTAAAGAAAGTGCATGAAAAATTTTAAAACATGTATCTAAACATTCGAGGAACGATTGAAATTTTAACAAATTGTGGTTAAAAAAAACATAAAAACCTTTTATATTGAAATCGGACAAACCCTCCACAATTATAAATGGCTGTATAGTTAATCCAGCATTGTAATACTTTTCAGTGACAGTATCAATTTGCCTTTTATAATCGTTAATTGTCGGTAGTCGCAGTACGAAACTTTCCTGCGAATCGACTATTGTTACTTTTTTTCGTAATTTACCGTTTCCACATTTAAACCTAGCAGGTGATGGTAAAACTGAATTCAACAGTATTGCGTATATATAATCTTGAGCATCTGCAACCGAAATATAAAATAAATATTACTTTTAATGTTTATGATAAATCAGGAATTAAAATTTACCTATGCTGCTTGCCGTCAAAACATTTGCGAAGAGTTGTTTGCAATGTTCGTTATGAATATTTTTCCCATAATAATTGTAAATTTTTTTCTTAAATTGGTCCCATTTAGAAAGTAGAAGATTGCCTTTCTGTGGATACATAATATCGAAATCAATGTTGACCTAAAACGAAACATTAGTATCCATATACAAATAAATAGCTCATGGCTACTTACCAATTCTGAAGCTCTTGCATCGGACAACTTCGGCCATTCTAGGAGAAATGTATGGCTACTTAAATTTTTTATATCTCTTTGCCGTATGTTAAAAGATCTTTTCCATTTTCGCAGATCGATCCCCAATCATTACATTCTCTTAGTAAGGAAGCTTTCAATGAATTTTCAACTGATTCATCAATTTCTGGAACATCTTTGTTACAAAAATTAGGAGATGTGTGAGTTGCTGCTTTGCTTGTGCTAGGCTCGGAAATCAAAAGCTTTATTCTTTTGGACTTCTTGTTTCTATACTTGGCATAAAGTTTTCCGCTTGCGTTGTTCTTTCCTTTTCTTGAAATGTAATAATAATCCTAAAAATAAAGACATATTATAAGTTAAGAAACTACATAATCAGATACGTTGTTTATATTGTTAATCTTACCCTCATTTCGTTTTCAAGAGGAAAAACGGAACAAATTTCATCCAATATGCGCATATAGTCTTGAGTGTAAAGAGTAACATTGTTGGTTAAAATATCTTCAATAATTATATTAATTATATCATCTCTTTGCTCGTCACTTAATTTCTTATTAACGCTACTACATTCAAGCGCCAGTTTCCCCTTCGAGGTATGTGTTAACAATTCCGTTAGATCCTATATTAAATAAAAAAACTACATTAACTATGCTTACACAAATATTACTCTTACCTTACCTCTGACAAAATTCCTTTGGCTTTTGAGCAGTTCGAACCTGTAGTGTCGGGAGTACCAGGAGTACTTGCAGGTGTCTCGTTGCGTTTCCACCATTCACCTATTTTAGATGGAACTGACATAGTTTCGTCATCAATCCCGAGCTATTGTTATGACAATATTAATACTGAGTTCAACACTGTAAAACAAATAATACGTACCTTTCGTTTTTTCCAAGCAAAGAGCTTTTCTCTGAATTCAACTCGCAGTCCCAATGGTGGCACTGCTTCCTTTAAATCTTCTTTTTTCAAGTACTGCAAACTGCGAAATGTTACATGTGATGCTAAAAGAACAAAAAAGAAAATTCTTTGTTAATTACACTGATTAACTGAAAAATTCATTTTATTTACTTACCTTTTAATTGTTCAAAAAGCGACTCCATATTTATTCCTTTTAAGAACTCCCTTAACATATAATCGTCCTCATTGTTTTCCGCATCTTGACTGCTGCAATGGTTTGTATCGCGAACCACAACAATATTGCCATCGATTTCTAACAACTCACCAATGATATTTTGAGGATCTTGCGAATTATTATTCATTTTCAATAAATTTTTTGCACAATGCGTCCTTTCTCTTTCAATAACACGGAAAAAATGGTAAATATGCAGCCGATTGCACACGAGTAAAAAAATGACAACGGTGGTGCATGATTCATACACGGTAGTTGCTAAAATGGCAACGATCGTGTACGATTCATGCACGTCGGTGTACAAAGTAACAACGGTGGTGCATCATTATGCAGGTGGTGGTGCATAATTCATACACGACCGGTGTCATATTGACAACGACAGTGTGTGAATCATGCACCACCGTTGTCATTTTTTACTCGTGTGTAATCGGCTGCAATTACCAATATTAAAAACGCAAAGTTGTCATTTTGAGCACATCGGTGGACAAATTAAGCACGGCTGTTGTTGGTACCGAAAGTTGACCACGTCTCGGTGTCAATTTGAGCACGTTCGTGCACAATTCACCAACAGCCGTTGTTGAAAAATATAACAACGGGTCGTTGCGAAAATGACAACATACGTGCTTGATTTCGCAACGGGATTTTTCCCTCAGTGTACAATGAGCTGCCACTGGAATAATTTTAACATATGTCGGACGAGTGGCTTGGAAATGACAGCAGTCTGAAGGTGAAGTTTTTTCATTTCGCCCTGTATATCCTGGAAATTTTTGAAAAAAAATTGGGGTTGCAATGGCGCAAAAACTGATTTTGTAGTCGCTCTTCAGGTCACAATTAAAGGCCAGTCGACACGGAATTTTTTGATTTTATGGTTTATGACAGGCAGATAAGTAAATATTTTATAGCGTTGCAAGGGTTAATTTAAATATCAATAATTAATCAATTTTTCTTTTTGCAGAAGTTGGAAAGGAAACCTGTTTTATTGATTTTAATACTTTATTACCTTCTTTGTAAAATAAAATTTAGTATTATTGTTGTGTTAACGAAATTTTAGTTTAAGTGTTTTATATAGTTTGACAGTTGCTGTTTTCTTTTAATAAATTCACTTTAATTATAAATTCCAATATCTTAATTGTGTTTCATTTATCTATGGATGCAGCTGGCAGAAATGGGAATTATTAAAACGAACTCGTGTACAAATAATCACACCTCTAAGTCGTCGTGTGTGGCACTAGGTGTCATTGTTATTATCAATCAAAGAGTTATTAGAGTTCTATTCAGTGAATAGAGCATACTCTAAGGCGTGCCATTTAATTAGTTTATTCCTCTGTACAATATAGAAAATATACAAGCTAATAATTTTCATTTTCTGCCACATAAAAAATTGGTTATTACAATTATTATGTAATGTTTTCTCATAATTCATTAGTAAAAGATCTATCTAGCATTAAAACGTTGAACGCCTTAAGGTATGCTATTTAGGAGACCTGAGCTGGATGTCTTATTGATCGATAGATTGGCAACACTGGCAGAGACTTGTTTTTTACGCCATCTAGTGAGACACATGATCGTTTTGAGCAAAGCAAATTTTTGAAATACCTATTTTTGCTGGTTTTTAATGGAACAATTTTTGTGTTTGGAATTTATTTAAATTTTGAATATCGATTTTTTAGCTTATCCAGATTAGTTTTCATATGAGTTTAACTTCAAAAAATTAAAACATTAATTCGCGAGGACAGTATGTGCCAAGCCTTAATGTACATTTCTGATTACAATATTCGAAGTTGGTTCATAGTACATCCTTATACTTACATTAAATAGATGTCTTAATTCCAAATTAAAAAATTCAACATAATACATAATACAAGTATCTCTTGGATTCAATTATGCATTAGCCAAGATCATGTGTCGTGTGCATATATTTTTCCTATATAAACTTCATCGTTTGATAGTTTTTCTCTTCTTAGCCAAAAATAATTCCTCATTATTTTTCGATTTTTTTAATGGCAAATTTTGAGTTCAATATAAGCCGATTTTCGTCGGTAATAGCAAAAATAATTGAGAATCCCACTTCTGAAATATGCCTAATTTTGCCGTCATCTCCATTGGCTTACAATTTGTAATTGAAAAAAAAAAAAACGATAAATAATACACTGCCAAAAATAGGCAAATTTTAGGTTTTCAAAATTTTGTTTGTGATTGAGCGATCATGTGTTTCAATAGATGGCGCTATAAACATATCTTTACCAGTGTTGCCAACCTACAAGTCATTCCAATTTCAACACCGGGTTGTAAAGCATGCTTTCAGGCACAAATTCTTCCATGTCGTTGTTATTGCGAGGAGAAATGATCGTTTAATTAAATTAAGAGCCTGAAAGTTTGCTATACTTTTATACATTTGTTAATCAACATGAACAGAGTAGGTAACAGTACCAAATACATTGTTATTTTCCAGCTGTTGAAACGTCTGATTGTTGGAGTTAACATTTTTAAATCCAATTTATTTGACATTTTTTTAATATTTCCATTTTAATTTTGCAACTAAGTTTACTATACCCATCTGTTTTTAAGGGTTTTTGTGCACATCACAATCGACTTGACGGATTTCCAGACTTCTGGCAAACAAATGGGACTATATCTACAACATAGTATTCCAGAAAAATTTGAAATAGTATTTTTCTAATTATCCATTCTCTTACCTTCGTGAGAGGCTTTCACATTTTGCTCATTTCAAATTTACCACTAATATGTAGAGGAAATAGCCTCTTATTATCAAGCATTTGCCATTGATGACAATAACCCGAATTTCGTTCAAAAAAGATGGACAAATGAATATAAAACATTGACCAAAAATGGAATTTCAAAAATGGTTCCTTGTCAGCGATCTTGTGAATCAATAGATGGCCCTACTATTACGTCGTTGCCAGTGTTACCAATCACTGTGAGCATTTAATTGTATTTTGAAGAAAAATAAAGCCCAATTTCAGGCGTTTGGTCACCTTCCGCTAACTATACCTGTAAAAACTCAACAATTTATTTTCTATGTTAAGTATTAATCTTTTTCTTATTTTTTTATTACACAGAATTGTTTATAAATTTAGGTTTAAATATAATACAACAAATTTATAATTTCTTAAACTATATTAATGTAAGGTATTCCGTTTTATGTCCGATTGAGACAATGTTTCAATTCTTCTATCTGGGTCTTTCCTTTGCATGCACCAGGTCTATGGAATTCCTAAAAATAATGGAAAATATTAATTAGAAACTCGTCGAAATAAAAATGGCAAACAATTTTTACTAAACATTTATAAGAAATATGAGACAGAATTTATATCATTGAGATTTGTTTATTTTCTTTCGAATTTTATAGTTATGGACAGCAGATATGTGAAAATAGTGAAAATAACAATGTGGATATTCGTTTTTAATGCAAAACCCCTAGTTTTGTTTGCAAAAAAATAAAATGAAATTAAAAATCATTGAAATCTCATAGTCAAACGTGTATTGAGGCTACTTTGGGGTAACCATCTTTCTTCTTCTATGATAAGTCCTTTTTGTCCCTTTGACCACGTCTCGGTGTCAATTTGAGCACGTTCGTGCACAATTCACCAACAGCCGTTGTTGAAAAATATAACAACGGGTCGTTGCGAAAATGACAACATACGTGCTTGATTTCGCAACGGGATTTTTCCCTCAGTGTACAATGAGCTGCCACTGGAATAATTTTAACATATGTCGGACGAGTGGCTTGGAAATGACAGCAGTCTGAAGGTGAAGTTTTTTCATTTCGCCCTGTATATCCTGGAAATTTTTGAAAAAAAAATTGGGGTTGCAATGGCGCAAAAACTGATTTTGTAGTCGCTCTTCAGGTCACAATTAAAGGCCAGTCGACACGGAATTTTTGATTTTATGGTTTATGACAGGCAGATAAGTAAATATTTATAGCGTTGCAAGGGTTAATTTAAATATCAATAATTAATCAATTTTTCTTTTTGCAGAAGTTGGAAAGGAAACCTGTTTTATTGATTTAATACTTTATTACCTTCTTTGTAAAATAAAATTTAGTATTATTGTTGTGTTAACGAAATTTTAGTTTAAGTGTTTTATATAGTTTGACAGTTGCTGTTTTCTTTTAATAAATTCACTTTAATTATAAATTCCAATATCTTAATTGTGTTTCATTTATCTATGGATGCAGCTGGCAGAAATGGGAATTATTAAAACGAACTCGTGTACAAATAATCACACCTCTAAGTCGTCGTGTGTGGCACTAGGTGTCATTGTTATTATCAATCAAAGAGTTATTAGAGTTCTATTCAGTGAATAGAGCATACTCTAAGGCGTGCCATTTAATTAGTTTATTCCTCTGTACAATATAGAAAATATACAAGCTAATAATTTTCATTTTCTGCCACATAAAAAATTGGTTATTACAATTATTATGTAATGTTTTCTCATAATTCATTAGTAAAAGATCTATCTAGCATTAAACGTTGAACGCCTTAAGGTATGCTATTTAGGAGACCTGAGCTGGATGTCTTATTGATCGATAGATTGGCAACACTGGCAGAGACTTGTTTTTTACGCCATCTAGTGAGACACATGATCGTTTTGAGCAAAGCAAATTTTTGAAATACCTATTTTTGCTGGTTTTTAATGGAACAATTTTTGTGTTTGGAATTTATTTAAATTTTGAATATCGATTTTTTAGCTTATCCAGATTAGTTTTCATATGAGTTTAACTTCAAAAAATTAAAACATTAATTCGCGAGGACAGTATGTGCCAAGCCTTAATGTACATTTCTGATTACAATATTCGAAGTTGGTTCATAGTACATCCTTATACTTACATTAAATAGATGTCTTAATTCCAAATTAAAAAATTCAACATAATACATAATACAAGTATCTCTTGGATTCAATTATGCATTAGCCAAGATCATGTGTCGTGTGCATATATTTTTCCTATATAAACTTCATCGTTTGATAGTTTTTCTCTTCTTAGCCAAAAATAATTCCTCATTATTTTTCGATTTTTTTAATGGCAAATTTTGAGTTCAATATAAGCCGATTTTCGTCGGTAATAGCAAAAATAATTGAGAATCCCACTTCTGAAATATGCCTAATTTTGCCGTCATCTCCATTGGCTTACAATTTGTAATTGAAAAAAAAAAAACGATAAATAATACACTGCCAAAAATAGGCAAATTTTAGGTTTTCAAAATTTTGTTTGTGATTGAGCGATCATGTGTTTCAATAGATGGCGCTATAAACATATCTTTACCAGTGTTGCCAACCTACAAGTCATTCCAATTTCAACACCGGGTTGTAAAGCATGCTTTCAGGCACAAATTCTTCCATGTCGTTGTTATTGCGAGGAGAAATGATCGTTTAATTAAATTAAGAGCCTGAAAGTTTGCTATACTTTTATACATTTGTTAATCAACATGAACAGAGTAGGTAACAGTACCAAATACATTGTTATTTTCCAGCTGTTGAAACGTCTGATTGTTGGAGTTAACATTTTTTAAATCCAATTTATTTGACATTTTTTTAATATTTCCATTTTAATTTTGCAACTAAGTTTACTATACCCATCTGTTTTTAAGGGTTTTTGTGCACATCACAATCGACTTGACGGATTTCCAGACTTCTGGCAAACAAATGGGACTATATCTACAACATAGTATTCCAGAAAAATTTGAAATAGTATTTTTCTAATTATCCATTCTCTTACCTTCGTGAGAGGCTTTCACATTTTGCTCATTTCAAATTTACCACTAATATGTAGAGGAAATAGCCTCTTATTATCAAGCATTTGCCATTGATGACAATAACCCGAATTTCGTTCAAAAAAGATGGACAAATGAATATAAAACATTGACCAAAAATGGAATTTCAAAAATGGTTCCTTGTCAGCGATCTTGTGAATCAATAGATGGCCCTACTATTACGTCGTTGCCAGTGTTACCAATCACTGTGAGCATTTAATTGTATTTTGAAGAAAAATAAAGCCCAATTTCAGGCGTTTGGTCACCTTCCGCTAACTATACCTGTAAAAACTCAACAATTTATTTTCTATGTTAAGTATTAATCTTTTTCTTATTTTTTTATTACACAG